ACAGACTCTGGTCCTTATTTGCTTTTTTTGTTGTGGAGAAGAGCAGCTTGCACATTCTGCCTAACATCACATGTTGTGTTCTGTAAAAGAAAGTCGATACAGGTTTAGAACGACATGAGAGTGAGACCTTTTTGGGTGAAATATCCCTTTAGGCTGCTCACAAATGTTCAGGTTACTGTGTGTGCTTCATTTTTATCACATGTGGCAGTCTGACTTAATGTTGTTTTGTCCAGGAGTTTGTGTTGTCCGGTCACTGTTCAACATGAGTTACATTCTCTGAAATAAAACATTCTACACACTTGCTGAGATGGCCTGTGACTGCGAGAGAGAGAGAGAGAGAGAAAGAGATAGATGAGCCCCCACACACATTGCTCTTGTCAGTTCTTCTCGGCTGTGGGGTCTGTAAATGTGCAGTGTATCAGTCAAAAGCATAATACTGGCCTCACCGAGGCCTAAATAGCATCATCTATCAGCCTGAGCGAGATTATGTGAGTGTCACTGCTTTACACATACTCACATACTGTACACACTCATCACATACCAACACAAGACTGTTTCAATACCTAGAGAGCTGCCTTCATAGTGTGCTTCCAAATGTTAAGTAGTGTGACTGTTTCCTTCTGAGGTCAAATCGAATGTATAATTTACAGATAATACAATACCATAATGCATTGCGACAGCTGAAATAATGGATGGATTATTTTGTTCCTCCAAAGATCGAATGAAGAAACGTTTATAAATATAATTTAAATAAAATATATAAAAATAAAGCATAAAATATGATAAATTATATGAAATATGTTTAAAACACATTATAAATATAATTCTTTTAATACCAAAAAGTATGGTTTAGAATACATTTTAAATTATTATTTGTTTGTATTATGTATGTATTTTTGCGCTTAAGGTTGCAGATAATGCAATCCTTGCAATGCAAGTGAAAAAAATGTATCAAAGATGCAGAATGAAACGAGAAGTGATTATACTGTAGATATAATTTGTGGTAATTTATAATAATTATATTTAATAAAATTTGTTACATTTTTATTTTATTTTAATACATTAAAAAAACTGTTGTTAAAATTGTTTAGAATTAAAAAAAATATTTATTTGAATTCTATATTTTTGTGGATAGAATGTCATATTACATATAATGCAATTCCATTATGCATGTTTTATTTACCCTTTAATGAGCGCATATCTTTACCAAAAAATAAATAAGAACTTACACGGAAGACTATTCTAGTAATTTTGACTTCTCCAAAATATTACAACATTTTTCTCGAAATATTTCGACTTTAATCTGGGGGCACCATAGATTTATATTACATCTTGTGAAAAGGGGGATAATATACTGAAGCCCTGAAACCCAACGTAAAAAAAAAAAAAGACAAAAAAAAAAGTAATACCTTTTTCTCGAAATGCAAAAAAAGTGTGATTTTTATTTTTATTTATGTAGTTGTTGTGGAGTTACATTGATTTATCTCATCGATTTGCATGTACCGTCATGTTTAACTTTTACACAAGTTCCCTGATGTCTTTACAAGAGAATTGTTGGGTCAAATAGTGTTCAGTGTTCGTCTGTGCAGCAACGACAGAACAGTTTGTGGCCTAGCTCGAACTTATGTCATTGCGTTAAACTGGTTACCCTGTTGTTGCTTGCTAAAACCAAATGGTGGCGTTGTGGGTGGAAATGTGCAGATTAAGGTGCGGTAATATAATAATTAGATCCCTTTCCTACATCAGAAGGGGAGCGACATCTGATCGGCTTATTTTTGGACATGCCTGCAGAGAAAGGCTTACTAAAACAACTGGGTTGTCACTTTTCATGTTTTCTGGGTTGGCAGATGCACCGGGGACCCGATTATAGCACTTAAAAACAGAAAAAGTCAGATTTGCATGAAATATCCCCTTAACATATCCCACAATCCCTTTATGCTCAGAGACACATCATTGACCCAGAACAACCATTTGTTACAGCATTCCTTCTCCCGGCCACACACAATGTATCCCTCCACCCTAAAAACAGGAAACAGAGAGTGGGAAGTCTTTATTTTTAATGAGTGTAACGTAAAATGCTTAATTTGCACCGTCTTCAACTAAATTATAACTCACACTGAAAGCAGCAGAATTTGCATAAATCTCATTATAAACAGAGAGCGCAGTTCATAAATCCTCCCATTAATTAGAGGTGTTTTCACCTCTTTCACACAGTATTGCGTATATGAATAAATGTGTATTTGTGAGAGTCAGACTTGTAACCTCAAAGGTCAAGGGTTCGTTTCCCTACTGGCAGGAATCGCTTATCTAGCGCCGCAGTGAATGGCTGCCCACTTCTCTAGGTGTGTGTGTCCACGGCTTAAGACACATGCCTTTGGTGTGAGAGACCCGGGTTCGAATCCATTGTGAGACACCAATGTGTCCCTGAGCAAGACGCTTAACCCCTAGTTTGGTCCAGAGGCGTGCGACCTCTGACATACAGTATATAACAATTGTAAGTCGCTTTGGATAAAAGCGTCAGCTAAATGATTAAATGTAAATGAATAAATGTGTGTGTTCACTTCTCACTGCTCCTAATGTGTATACACTAACTTGGATGGGTTAAATGTAGAGGAAAAAACACTTCACTGTATGTGTGCTTTTAGTTTAAGTTAGTGACCTTTGTGGTTCCTAGATGTGTCTGGATATGAAAGAGGTGCTTTGTATAATTTGACCCGAGTTATATAGATTGATTGCTATGCATTTATGCATTTGACTGAGGTTTTTATTCAAAGTAGCTTTTAAAGTATACATTTCAAATTTCGGCCTTGGTGTTGTTCTACCGTACCTATTTATGTGAGTGCATTTGAAAGTGTGTAAAAGCAAATATGTGTGTGTGTTTATGGCTGTGGAAGGGATTCAGCCTGATCTGTTTGTTGGTCTTTCTCATTATTGTAGGATTTGCAGCATTAGGCTTCTGTCAGCAGAAGTAAAGCTGGAATGAGTCAGGGACCCCCTCGCCAGGTGTCTTCATAAACGCACACCTGTTACCAGACACACTCCATGTGTGTGTTGTATAAAGAGCTTAGAGGGTGTCATTGTTGCTTCTGGTTATGGGATATTGAAACACTGTTCAAGAGAAGGAATGAGAGAATAAAGAGGTGAAAACACTCATTTATAAGGGTTAGTTTGTTTAGATTTTGATTAATGAGAGATGAAGAAAGAATGAAATACTAAAATAACACCTTCTCAAGGTCAGAACTTTGCACTTGACTAAAATATCTGAATTTTCTACCATTATTTACTCAGCCTCACTCATGTTGTTTCACTCTAGTTTCAGCTTTTTTTTTACCTGCAATGGCGTTTTGCTTCATGGGTGTTGAGCTGGTACTGACAGAACGGCAGATTATTTCATTTTCTCCCCTCCGTTTGGTCTAAAACACTGTGTTCGTGGTCATCCAGTCTGAACTGTTGACTACAAACAGGTTTGTCAGATATTCTGAAAGTAATACGCTGATTTCACGCAGCCGTCAGTTTGAAATGGCTCCGGTGGGAAGAAAACCGGAAGTGTCGCCTTTAATCATAGGAGAGTCGCGAATGCGATGGCTTATTGTGTTTAATGTAGAAATTTGTTATTCTAAAAATGTACATACATTTCTTTCATAGTTTAGACTATAGTGACATTTATAAATGTATAAATACAAATCTTTATATATATATATATTCAGAACTTAAAAAAAGAAGCATGAACGAACTATATACATATCCTATATTGGATATTAACATCTAATAGTTTAAATTGCAGAGGCAGCTTCAGGTTGGTAGTCCATGTCCAACTTCTACGGAAGACTATTCTAGTAATTTTGACTTTAACCTTGAAATATTTTGACTTTATTCTCTAAATATTACGACTTTATTCTCAAAAAATTTCGACTTTAATCTTGAAATATTTTGACTGTATTCTCGAAATATTTCGACTTTTTTCTCTAAATATTTCAACTTTAATCTTGGGGCACCATAGATTTATATTACATCTTGTGAAAAGGGGCATAATATACGGAAGCCCTGAACCCCAACGTAAAAAAAAAAAAAAAAAAACGTAATTTTTCATAATGTAACATTTGCTTTTTCTCGAAATGCAAAAAAGGTGTTTTTTTTTTTTTTTTTTTATATATATATATTTTTTAATTTATTTTATTTTTTTAATGTTGGGGTTCATGGCTTACGTATATTATGCCCCTTTTCACAATATGTAATATATATATATCTATGGTGCCCCCAGAATGTGTCTGAAATTTCAGCTCAAAATACCTCAGATAATTTATTATACACTCTAAAAATGCTGGGTTGTTTCAATTTTGGGTCAAATATGGCCAAACAAAAATTTTACTCAAATATGTAACCCAAATTTGACCCAAAGTTGGGTTGAAACAACCCAGCAGTTTTCAGAGTGTAGCTTGTCAAATTTGCCCCTTTTTGTGTGTGAGCAAAAACGCACCGTTTTTGTGTCTATTGAGTGAATACATATCCTGTATTGGATATTAACATCTAATAGTTTAAATTGCGGCAGCAGCTTCAGGTTGGTAGTCCAAGACATTGTTGTCTTTCTGTACTTCCCGAATTTCAAAATGGCGGCTGCGTGTAATCAGCGTATAGACATTTACCTGGGAACAATACAAGTCGACACTATTATGATTAAAAGTTTTCTAAGAAGTGTTTCCTACTAAAGCACGGTGGTTACGGTATTTGACTCTGGTAAGCGTATTTATAGCAGACTGGTGGGAGTGGCCTTTGACCTCAACATACCCAGTGCATTATGGGTATTGAAGTTTTCCTACCTTCTGTTTTGGATAGTCAGGTATTTTTTTGCCTTTACGATAAAAGCAGCCAAGCTTTATTGAAAGCCCATTCTACCAATGGTGAAGTACCACTTTAAGTGAAATTCAGCCTTTCATAATATGACCCCTTTAAGATGTAATTTTGTCTTAAGTGTCATTCATTTTCTCCATCTGTGTATGCAGGTTCATCCATTACCCAGCTGCAGGCGGTCGATCCGGACGGTGAGCCGCTGATTTTCGGAGTGGTCGGGGAAGAGGCCATGCGGTACTTCGCTGTGCAGGAGACGACTGGGGTGGTGTGGCTGAGACAGCCGCTCGACAGGGAGGTGCGGAAAACCATGCGATGAATGACTGTCCGACTGGAGCTGACAGTGATATTAATGCTGCTGTGTGTTTTTTGTTTTTGTCTCTTCAGACAAAGTCAGAGATGCAGGTGGAGTTCTCAGTCAGTGACAGTCAAGGGGTGAGTTAGCGATCATCTATCTGTCCACCTTTTTATCCATCCGTCTCTAAGGTCTATGCAGTCCTTTACTTTTAATGTTCAAAAATGTACGATTTTAAAGCTAAGAAAAGAGAAATTAATACTTTTATTCAGCAAAGACATTACAAATCTGCATATTAGATCATGTGACACTGAAGACTGGAGTAATGATGCTCGCTGGAATAAATTACAATTTTTATGATATTGAATAATATTACTATTTATATATAATAATTGCAGCCTTGTTGAGCATAAGTGACTTCTTTCAAAAAGATTTAAAAAATCTTACCGACTGATACTGTTAGCACTTGTTGAACTTTTCTTTTCCATTTATAATTACTATAGACTTTTTTTTTTTTTAAATATGACATTCAGTGTGGAAATAATGGAACGTTCTCAAAAGCCTCTGCTATTTGATTTCATTTGCTTTTCAGGTCGTCAAGGATACAGTGAACATTCAGATCGGAGACGTAAATGACAATGCTCCAACATTTCACAACCAGCCGTATGCCATTCAAATTCCAGAGGTAATGTGCAACACTTGCAGTAGCATTCACTTCATTTTTCTTTCATGATGTGATCTATTTCTAAGTCAAACATGATATTGAATGAGAAGAAATGTTAGGTGAGTTATTAATTTGAGTTTAATATTATCCGTTTTTAAATGTATTCTTTTTTTTCCCAAATATTGTATTTTAAATAATTTAATATATTTTATCATGTTATTTATTTATGTATTCTTTTTTTAAATAAAAGATTACAAAGCTAAACCTCTTTTTAACTACATGCACCAATGATTTGCATTAAGAGAGCAAATTAGAGTCAGTTTTATTTTCCCGAGGTCTTATGATCAGACTAATTTAAATATTCTGGCTTGAATTCCAGAAACAGTGGTATATGTTTGGAATGCAGAGAATGTTCTTGTATTCTCTTTATTTAGTTATTTCGCTCTCTGCTTATTTTCTCCATATTTATCATCCCCAACTGAGATCAACAGAACCCCCCTTACCCCAACCCCCAACAGTCTATCAGCACTTTTTTTCAACTTCAACCTATCCTTCTCTCCTTTTCCCTTCATCCTTCTGGCCCATCCTCTTCTAATCCCTGACATGAGGTAATTTGGTTGAGTAAAGTAGACAACTTTCTCTCTCCACACACACACACACACACACACACACCTCAGCTGATGTTTATATTGTGTGTCTATATACATCCCACACTCCTCCCCAAAGAAAATCTTCAAAGCCACAGTTATTTTTTCTCTTTTCAATCTGTCATTCTGAGTAAATAAAAGTAGGGTGAGAGTGAGCGAGTGTGAGCGAGAGAGCTGTATTTAGCTGATGTTGTTTACCCAGGCTTGATGATTAAGCTGTCTACAGTTAGAAGGACAGAGGAGGACCGGCATATTTGGCCACTTACCCAAAATTCTCAGTCTTCATCAGAACTGTGGAAAACCCAAAGAGATTTGGATTGTTCAATGTAGAGTCTCTCTTGAGTCATGTTACAGCTTGTATAATTTATTTTCAAACATGTCCAGGTGACATTTCACCACAGTCAAAAGATTTTTTTTTAATAAATAGATTTTTTACATAATGAATATAACTTTTTTTTGCATTTTTACATTAACATGACAGTAATATTTTTTTCATTGCTGCAATACATTTAATTTATTTGTAATTCCCATCTAAATGGTGATTTTCATTAGTGTATTACAGAATCCACGTAAATAAACACAACACAAGAATATTTACCATGGTCTATAAATATTTTACAATTTAAGCTATTTTTTATATATATATAGACTCATAGAGTAGGGTGAATAGGGTGTCTGGGCGAGACACAGGTCCAATTGGGAGGCGCCAGTAGAACTGCTGGGTCTAAATATCATGAATTTGTTTTACTTACGGTCTGCCATCCAGACTTTTAATGTCATAAAAACAATCTAACAGTCTTTGGGAATTATTACCCTCCCTTTTTATAGGCAAGTAGATCCGTGAATCATCTGAATAAAAAATGGAAACTGATGTTATGCTTCTTTAAGATAGATCCAAGGGGAAGCAAATAAAGGGAGAAGAGAATCGGCCCCAAAATAGAGCCCTGAGGAACTCCTCATATCATCAGCTAATCATCATTGGTTTCACATGCCTCTTGACTACACATCATCAATGACTGACACCACAATTTAAATTGAGATTGACTGAGGGAAGGTGAATTTTGACTGAGGTGAATTTTGACTCTTTAATTTTTTTGGCCAAACTGTACCTTTTTTTTCTCTTTAGAAAGAGCAAGAAAAAACAGTCCCAGCTCCTCCCCAACCACCACTTTCTGTTTTTAGGTCTCCATTTCTGCATTTTGATGGCCTCATTACCTCTTCTGACCTCGCTTGGTCTGTGAAGACACGCTATGGCATCACTCCATCAATCTGTCATTTAAACTGTATTCCACCAATCGGGGATTATCCACACATCACTCCTAAGCAGTGAGAGGATGTGTGGGAGGAATAGCGTAAGATGATAGGAAGAGCTGAAAATGCTTGAATGAAAAATAAAGTTAGGGTAAGAATTTCAGGACAGGTTATCAAAGAGAACGGCTTTTACTTTTTACCTTAAAGTTAGCATGAAAGGTGAAAGCGTTATCAGCAAAAATAAGTCAGTAGAATGCTTGTGCTTTTTTGAGCCAATCAATAAACAAGAAAAAATGGATGGTATAACCATTTTAAAGTTGCTTTAGTTAAAAAGAGTCTGTCAAGAATATCAATGAAAGTAGCACAAAATGATGTTTTCGCTAGTTTGTAATTTCTACAATGATGAATGAGTATCATAAGAGGCTGAAAGAAAGAGGTGTGTTTGTGTGTGTGTGTGAATGGGCCTGTATACTGTATATATATATATATATATATATATCATATAAATGCTTTTGAACTTTATTTCCTCACAGAATCAGGAAAAAAATAATGGTTTCCACAAAAATATGAAGCAGCACAACTGATTTCAACATTGATAATGATAAACAGAATATTTCTTGAGCAGCAAAATCAGCATTTTAGAGTAATTTCTGAAGGATCATGTGACACTGATGACTGGAGTAATGATGCTTATAATCACATCACAGGAATAAATCACATTTTTAAATTTATTCAAATTTGTTTTAAACATTTATTTTAAATTGTAACAAATCTTTTTTTCCTGTTTATTTTTTTTTAAAATCTTTTTTTAAAGATATTTCAATTTTTTGACAATAAACAAACCTGAATAAGAACATGAAAACGAAAGAAATGAAATTAAGAAATGAAATCCTACCAATCCCTCCCTCTCTTCACAATGGGGTAAATAATGGACAGAAAAACAAAGCCACAAAAAAACCCCATCAGATTCCTGATCATTGCTTTTTGCATTATAGTTGGAGATGATCTCAGCAGATAGAGTCCAGATTTTTAATGTTAAGATTTGTGCCGAGTTCACCCGAGCTGTGGATATTTCCAACATTATAACGTCCCGAAGTTGAATCAAGCACTTGTATATATCCAGGGTATGTGGTGGGAGCCAGTGTTGAGCTATCAGATTTTTTGCAGACGTTAAACCGGCCAGCCAGAAAATTTTTGGCAGCTTAGAGAAATCACACCGAGAATCATCATTCAGTAATAATACAGAGGGGATCACCGGTATAGGATATTTAATGATTCTCGATAAGGTATCCACATACCTCTTTCCAAACTGTTGTAAACTTCTCACATTTCCACATCAAATGGAAAAAGGATCCAAGTTGTTGGTCAGGACATTTTTCACAGAAGGGAATTGTAACAATATAACCCAATATAAAAAAACAACAACAATATTTTTTTTTATTTGTAGCTTGTAAATAGAAACTTGCCAGAAGAACTTGAAGGCAGCATGAACTTTTCGTTGTCAAAATGCATTCTGGAATTGCAATTAATCTATATGATGCACTCTTAGATTTTGGAATAAATGTGATGTTTATCAAGTCCAGTCTTTGTGAAAATGCTCGCTAGGCCACTCACTTGCGTTTGGATCAGTGGATTAGATAAATAGGGAATATTCAGATTTCTTTCTGGCTAACAAGATGCAATCAAATGCTATTTGTAATGATAGAGGCCATGTGTTGCATGTCACACAGTGGCAAGCATAATAACCGTTTTGGATAGCAGTGGATGGTATTAATAAATATTTTGAAGGGTGAGCTCAGCCCTGTCAGACAAAATAAAATATGATTTTTTCCAAACTGACTATTTTCACTCCCAAACCTGCCAAACATCCAGAAGACAAAGAGCGTGTGTGCCAGCTTTCAATTTACGTTCAAAGAAAAATGGAGCTGCGGGAAATGGAGATTTGTGGTGGACAGTGATGATATGGCCTCTTGATCTGTTTGAAAACTGCCTGCCAAATGTAAAGCAGTGGATGTTTAGGGAAGGGAATTGCTCTCCCCAGCCAGTCATTACAGAATTCACTGCTGGAGCAGTAAACTGGAGGCTTTATTCCTGTCGCTCTCACTGAAATCTATTACAAACACACACACACACATAAACACAGTTGAGAATGCGCACTTTCCCAGCATCTTATAAATGAACAAGGGAAAGGGGGGGAAACGATATTGAAAGGGAGATGGGAAGTCATACACTCAACTACTTGGCATTTGTGCTTATACACTATTAAAAGTAAAGGTTCCAATTTTTTTTATTTTTTTTAGGGGGGTCCTACCAATAATTTTCAGTGATCGTTTTTTTTCTAAGTGTGAAGAGCATTTTAATATTCTAAAGAACCCTTTTCATCTATAGAACCTTTTGTGCATTGGAAAAGTTCGTTATATATTAAAGTCCCCGTGAACCGGAATTTGCAAACGACTTTTCTCCGGTGCTGTGACGTATTTCCAAGTGAAATGGAATATTGAACTGAAGTCAGGGTTTTACTCTAGCGCTCCTCCTCTCCATCTCTCGCTCATAGCAGACTAACAGTTTTAGGGGAGTGGTTAAACTTTTCCCAACCCAAGCCGTCAAACCTACGTTATCAGAAAAAGACGCCATTCCAGTTTGGAAGTAACTTTTCAGATTTTGATTAAAGATTACCATGGTAAATTTATATATATATAACTTGCACAGGCTAATTGTTCACCACAAGACTAATATGCACTAACAAAGTAAATAGGTTCAATTTTGATTTCACAGGGACTTTAAAGGTTCTAATGGAACCATTGATGCCAATAAAGAGGATTTATTTTATTTAAGAGTGTATAGCTGTATTTTTGGCAACCCAGGGGTAATAAGTGACATGTAAGAGAGATCAATATAATTTGTTTATTTAATGTCTTTGCTTATTGTAGAAATGTTGATTTTCCTCATATGTGCATGCCAAACTACCATTTGGTATAATAGACTACCTTTCAGAAGTTTGGGGTTGTTAAGATTTATTAGTGTTTATGAGTGTTTTAGTCTCTTATGTTCACCAAGAACATAAGAAAAAAATGAACAAAAAATTATTAAATATTGTATTTAAATTGTAAAAATAGTATTACA